CGCAACAGCAGACTCAGAACCCTCAGCGCCCGCACCCCCAACGGCTCCAGAACCTCCGGTGTCAGTACCCTCAGCACCAGTACCTCCAGCGGCTCCAGAACCTCCAGCACGAGCACCCTCAGCAGCTCCAGAACCTCCAGCTCCAGCGCCACCAGTACTAGGCCCTCCAGCAGCTCCCGAACCTCCAGCGCCAGCACCCTCAGTAGCTCCAGAACCTCCAGCGTCAGTACCGCCAAGCTCAGCACCCCCAGACCCCTCACACTCAGGCTCAGCACCACCAGGCTCCACACCCTCAAGCTCCGCACCCTCAGGCTCAGCACCCCCAGGCTCAGCACCCCCAGGCTCCGCACCCCCAGGCTCAGCACCCCCAGGCTCCGCACCCTCAGTAGGACCTGAGTCACCAGTGACCTCAACCGGCGCAGTCAAGGGAGGAGGGTCTACCTGAGAAACACCTGAAGGAGCAGGACCAGGAGTGGGGAGGGGGTCTACCTGGGGAGCACCTGGAGCGAGGAAGAGCGGCGGGGGGGGGAGCGGGGCAGTGCGGTAGGGGAAGAGACGGTAAAAGGGAACCGACTCGTCGAACGTGACGTCCTGAGACGCAAAGACACGGCGCGAGGTGGGATGGTAAAACTGCCAACCAGGCGCGTCAGGGACAAAGCCAAGGAAGACACAGGGAACAGCGCGGGCGGAGAGCTTGTCCGCGGTGGTATCGCGGACAAAGGCACGAGCACCCCAGACCCGGAAACGCGACGCATCACCAACCTTCCCCGTCCACAGCAGTGTGGGCGAGGTCTCCGGCAAGGAGACACGGGGCCAGAGGTTGAGCTGATGCGCGGCGTACCGGACCGCAAACGGCCACAGGAAATGGGGGGCAGCCGCATGGATCATGGAGGTACGAGCGACCTCCATGACTAAGCCAATGCGACGCTCAGCAACCCCATTCTGCTGTAGAGAGGCCGGAAGCGTGAACGACTGGGTGATGCCGTGCTCCGCACAGTAGGCTGCCAAGAGGTCAGAGGAGAACTCACCACCCCTGTCAGAGTGCAGACGCAGGACAGGAAAGTCCCGCCGGAACCGCTCGCGGAGCTGGAGACGAACAGCGCGGATCCAAGGGATCAAAACATTAGGGACGTCCCCCTTGCTCTGCAAGGGGAAGACCGTGGTGTAACGCGTGTAGTCGTCGACAACCAGCAGGAAGTACCGCTCGCGGCCCTGTCCCTGGACGCGGGCTGGGCCCCACACGTCCAGGTGGAGCGTCTGCAGTGGAGCCTCTGTGGGAGGAAACGAGGAGGAGTGAGGAGCGGCGCGCTGCCGCCCCTCGACGCAAGGAATGCAGGGCGGCGCAGGCGAGGGAGGGAGGGCAGGCAGGGACCTGGGAAGACCAGAGACCAGGGAGCGAGAGTGCATGCTACGCAGGCGAGGCAAGGAGGGGTGACCAAGACGGTGGTGCCACAGGAGAGTGTCGTGCGACAAAGCGCGACACTCGCAGGGGGCCGCCAGCTGACCAGACGTAGACGCAGACGCAGCTACCTGAGGGGACTCAGTGGTCAGTGTGTACAGACTCGAGCCAGGTGCACGGGTGAACGTGGCCAAGTGCCGGCCCGTCCTAGCACACGTACAGTGAGTCACTCGCTGACTCGCAGGAGTGAACTGGTCAACCTCCCGATCCTGGAGGTCAGCTCCACTCACCAAGTCACGAGGGGAGGTAAAGACCTGACAGCGAGCCGGACGGGACGGCCGGACACGGCAGAACCGTGGAGTAGTGGGCAAGGACTGGACCCCCGGAGGGGTCCGCCAGGGAGACTGGAACTGGCCGACTAAGCGGCGTGAGTGTGGTGCAGTCGCGAAAGAAGGAGCGAGAAGCTCCTGAGTCAAGGGTGAAGGTGTGCGAGACCGTAGGTGGCGCAGTACCAGAGAGAGCAGACTCACCAGCACCTGAAGCCACGGCCTCACCAGTACCTAGAGCAGTAGACGTACTAGCACCGAGAGCAGCAGCCTCACCAGCACCTAGAGCAGGAGACGCACCAGCACCTAGAGCAGCAGCCTCACCAGGGTCAGGCGGTACGCACAGATAACAGGCACGATCAGCACTAGTAGGCAATGCATACATGGCAGTGAGAATAGCATCATAGTCAAGCGCAAAGATATCTACCCTCTGTCCATGCAGCTCCAGCCAGGTGGGGAGCTCAGCCTCGTCGCCAAACACTGTGCGCCAGTCGTCGCTCAGACGGGCGAAGCAGCGGGACTGTGTGTGACCAAGCGTCCCACAAGGCTGACCAGTCCTAGCACCTGTGCGAATGACGTACGGGCAGCGAACTGTACGCGTAGACCTGCTACACTGAGCGTACCACTCCTGGAGCTGCCGGGGCGTAAGTGTCTCACGTGGACGCCCCTGCAGCTGCAGCTGGCCACTGCTAGACGCTCCCAACTGACCAGCTCCAGGGCGACAGCTACGACGGCTACTGCGACAACCCCAGCTAGTATACCACTCACTAAGCTGCTGGGGCGTCAGAGGCTCGCGTGAACGTCGCTGGAGCTGCATCTGGCCACGTGCCAGTAGCAGCAGCAGTAGCGCGGGCAAGGCAGGCGCGGCAGGCAGGCAAGCAAGCAGGCAGGCAGGCAGGCAGGCAGGCCGGCAGGCAGGCAGGCAGGCAGACAGGCAGGCAGGCAGGCAGGCAGGCAAGCAGACAGGCAGGTAGGCCGGCAGGCAGGCAGGCAGGCCGGCAGGCAGGCAGGCAGTCGCGCAGGCAGGCAGGCAGGCAGGCAGGCCGGCAGGCAGGCAGGCAGGCAGTCAGGCCATCAGGCAGGCAGGCAGGCGCTCACCAAAGGCTGGGAGAGCAGGCGCTCACCGGGCGAGCAGGGCCGGCGCTCGACGGGCGGCGGCCGAGTAGGCGCACGACAGCGGCGGCGTCGGGGCCGCAAAACCGGCTGCAGAGCAGGGCCGAAGCAGCTGCAGGGCGGGGCCGCTTCAGCGGCAGTAGCAGGGTGGGGCCGCGTCAGCGGCAGGTCGGGGCCGTGGCAGCTGCAGGGCGGGGCCGCATCAGCGGCAGGTCGGGGCCGTGGTAGCTGCAGGGCGGGTCCGCATCAGCGGCAGGTCGTGGCCGAGGCAGAGGGCCGCGCGCGGCTCGGCGCACGTTGCGCTGACAGCGCGCTGAGCTGCTGCAGGCCGCGCGCGGCCGCGCTAGGCAGTAGCGGGCCGCGCGCGGCTCGGCGCGGGCTGTTGCGGGCCGCGCGCGGGCCGCGCGAGGCAGTAGCAGGCCGCGCGCGGCTCGGCGCGGGCTGCTGCGGGCCGCGCGCGGGCCTCGCGAGGCCGTAGCAGGCCGCGCGCGGCTCGACGCGGGCTGCGTGGGCTCGGCGCGGGCTGCGCGCGGCAGCTGCGGGCTGCGCGCGGCTGCAGCGGGCTGCGCGCGGCTCGGTGCGGGCTGCGCGCGGCTGCAGCGGGCTGTGCGCGGCTCGGCGCGGGCTGCGCGCGGCTGCAGCGGGCTGCGCGCGGCTCGGCGCGGGCTGCGCGGGCTCTGTGCGGGCTGCGCGCGGCTGCAGCGGGCTGCGCGGGCCTTACGGGCCTCTAGGGGCGGCGCGTGGGCCTTACGGGCCTCTAGGGGCAGCGCGCTGGCCTAGGGCAGCAGGAGGCAGCGCTAGGGCTGCTGGACGGCGCACATAGTGCAGCACGTCACAAGGCAAGGCAAGGCAGGCAGGTACGTGGGGTAGCGCGGTAACCGCAGCGGTAGGTGGGCCCGAAAAAAAAAAAAAAAAAAAAAACGGTCCTACGGACCTTAGTGCTCTGAAACCATGTCAGAATCTAGCAGCAGGAATGGATGAACTAGCAGCATGCAGGAGTACAAGTAGTAAACCCTAATTGGGCTGTACCCCATATGGGCTACCCCACTACAGCCTAGACAATATGCAGCATATATGTTTGACAGAACACCTCCACGCCGAACAACCATGCAGAAACAGTGACGAACTTGTCACTTGGGTTAAACGGGGGCGGGTTTGTCGGTTTGATTTTCACGAAAGCCGTTGCTGCCATCGGGGCCGTCGGCATCGCTGCTGGTGTCGCCGTAGTTGTCGCTGCTGCACGTGTCGGCGCTGCACGCGACTGTTGCGGTGACTGTTGCTGTTGCATCTGCCTCGCTTCATCCGCATCTATCTCGCCTTCCAACTCGTCCCAGAGCCGCTCCTCCGGTGCAGTGCTGCTACTTGCGTCGTCCACGACAGGCGACTCCTGGCGCGCTTCACCACGCGCCTGGTGTAGTTCGGCGTTTTCCTTCTGGAGACGCTCCATTTCTGCAGCCATAGTCTGCATGGTGGCCTGCATCGTCCGGAACTGTTGCATGAACTCGTCTTACTCCGCCTGTTCCATGTGTCGCAGGCTTCGTCTAACGGGCAGGGGGTGGCTCGCGATTTTTCTGACCTGGTGAAGGCGTTAATGCTATCGTAGTCGGAGTGGAATAATCAGATCTATTCCACGGGCCGACCGCTTAACAGCCCACCAAGTCTATCGCTCCCCTTCTACAAACTACCCCGGAAACGCGAGGGTAACCTAGGACTTTAGGCTCTGATACCAAGTGTATTGAGTTGTGAATGAAAGAGTGCGCAGAATTCAATAACGCGGAAGTGATTACAACGTCTGAATGAACAACGAGGCCTAGGCACAATATAGCAAGGCTAGCTAGGCCGAGGTCGCGGGGTCGCGAGATGGTTGGGTGCAGGTTCGGGGTTGGAAAACCCGAAGGCGACGCGGTGGTGGCTCGGAAGGCGAGGTCGGCGGGCCGAGCCTGGTTTTCCGAAAGTCGGGGTTGTACGCGTACGGAGTGACCCAGTAAGGAATCCGAAAAATTCCTTACAATTCCCTATCCCAACGCACACTTCCGTTTTCCCGCGAAAATCCCGAACTTTTTCCGTCAATGCAATTTCGAGGTTTGTTTGAATCCCAAGGTCCCCATCCTGCTTTTCCCCACTCGCATTTTCTTCACAAATTCCTATCAATCTCTTCCGCCATGATCCCCACGGCTCTTCCACATCGTTCTTTTCAAGCTCAAGCGCTTTCCCGTTCCTCTCCCTTCACTTCTTCCGTCTCTCACTTCTCCGCCGCTGCACGCGTTCCGCTTTACTGCGTTTCAGCCAGCTCTCGCTTGCACGCGCACACTTTAGCGGCGCGACAGACTCGGTTCTCGACGGAAATTTGGCAACATCCTCGTCTCTATCAGAGCTTGATATCAAGCGATCATCCGGTGCCTCGTCGCAGGGCGTCGCACGTGCGACCGATGACTACAGCTAATGCGACGGATGCGAAAGCGAGCGCGACAATTACTAGAGGCGACGGGAGTGAGAAGGATGTGTGGGTGATGACGCAAGCAAAGGAGGTGGTGACGGCAGCACTGGAGGCGGGGTGGGGGACGGTGGTGGTGGAAGGCGCGGAGGAAGAAGGGGAGAGCGGGGCGGGAAAGAAGGGGAAGCGCAAGGGCGGGAAGGACGGGGAGGAGATGACGGAGGGGAGTGCGAGCGCGGCGGAAGAGACGCGCGAAGCTTTTGAGAGTAGGTGACGCGGCGACTCGCATGGTGGGCTGTGTGCTGTGGGCTGTGGCGTTCTCGCACTGCCATACCAACCCGTCCAATGCAGTTCATTGCAGTGCAAGCCTGCCCGATGCAATGCAGCCCCATACTAGTATCTTGCTTTCATATTTCCCTCCCCGCGTCACACCGCCGCTCTTGAGTTGACGCAAACGTTATCGCGTCACATGCCTACACTCTTCCGTCACCTCCAGTCAACGTCCCGTCCCTCTCAACTCTCCTCGCTTTCATCGCGCCCTTCCCCCCCTCACCCCGCTCCGCCGTCCCGTTCGTCCGCCACGCGTGGGCGCGCGGCAGAACTGGGGCGCGTGCGCGTGGTGACGCGGAGAGGCGCGGCGGTGTACGGCGCGGGGGGGGAGAGGGTGGCGGCGTGGGTGCGCGTGGCGAGCGCGGCGGAGCAGGAGGCGATGTGCGCGCTGGCGGGGCGGGAGGACGTCGTGGTCATGGACGCCGCGGACTGGAAGGTGCGCGCCGTGGGGGTGGGGAGTGGGGGAGGGAGGGGGCTGTTTGGGAAGATGGCTGTGGGGGTGTGTGGCGTGGGGTGTCGGGTCGTGGGAGGGGGTTGGAACGAGCGTGCTAGTGGGGGAAAAGGGAGGTTGGGGGTGGCTGTGTGGGAGGGTGCCGGTGGGCGTGTGTGGCATGGGGAGCTGGGCTGCTGGGGGGAAGGAGTAATGCACGCGCTGGCGGGGCGAGAGGACGGCGTGGTCATGGATACCGCTGACTGGAAGGTGCGCGCCGTGGAAGAGGGAGGGATTGCGGTGGGGGATGCTGGGCTGTGGGGTTGCACACACAGAAATCGCATTGCAAGCCTGATTTCATCCACTCGTCCCTGCCCACTCCCTTATCCCCCCCCCTCTCTCTCTTGCCCCCCTCCCCCTCCCCCTCCCCCTCCCCCTGCCTTTCCGCACACCACCAGGTGATCCCAGCAGAGAACGCAGTGGCGGCCTTTGCACCCACGCGCACGTCCATCATGGGGGTGGCCTCCACCGCTCAAGACGCCCAAGTGCTGCTCGAGGTGCGCTGCTTGATTCTGCCTGCTGCCTGCTGCTTGCATCCGTTCGTTGCTCAAGTGTCTCCAAGTCAAGGTGCTTCAGTCCTATCAATTACTCGCTCCATACTGCCTTCTCCGTCCCATAAGCACTCAAAAAACCAACGCCCATGATACCAAACTCCCATCTACTGTGCCTCGCCCCCTTCCCTCCGCTCCACTCCCACGCCATGCCTCACTCCCTTCCCATCGCCATGCCCTCTCGCCCTTACTGTTCTCCCTGGCCGCCCGGCCTTACCCTGCGTGTGCCCCCTGCTTGCTGTTGCTGTAACTGCCAGTCTCTGGAAGCTGGACTGGATGGCGTTGTGCTACGCACATCTGACCCCTCACAAGTCTTCGCTCTCAAGGCATGTCTCTTGGTGTTATTTCTCTGCCCTCTTCTTTCTGCCCTCTCCTCCCTCCCCGCCTGTCTCTCTCTGGTCCCCGCCCTCCTCTTTCCTCCCTTATTCCCATCCCTTGTTTCACCTTCACAAACTCTCCCTACCCCAGCCATTCACCATGCCCCATACCCTTCTTCTTCCACGTCCACTCTTCATCCCACCCTCTCCCCACGCCCACTGCATTCTCTCTTTATTGTAATCCCTTCCCCCCATCCCAACCTTGTCCTTCCTTCCTCTCTGACCTTACCCCACTATTCCTCACCCCACCCCACCCCACCCCACCCCACCCCTCCCCACCCTCCGCCAGGCCTACCTATCGCAGCGCTCGCGCACAGCATCTCAGGTGGAGCTAGTAGCGGCGACAGTGACAGCGGTGGCGACAGCAGGCATGGGGCACCGCGTGTGTGTGGATCTCTGCTCGCTGCTTCCCCGGGTGCAGGCCTGCTGGTAGGCATGTGTAATCCTGGGGCAGGGAGGCGATAGCCAGTAGGAAAGGGCGTCACAGAGTTGTGAGATGTCTCAGCACACAGAGTCACCATGACAGGCATGTAGGCTATTCTCCCCGCGCTGTGTCTTGGCTCCTGTTGTCCCTTGCCTATTTCTTCTTATTGATCTGATTCGTTCTTTCTATTCCTCCCTCCTGCCCCCCTCTCCCCTCTCCCCTCTCCCCTCTCCCCTCTCCCCTCTCCCCTCTCCCCTCTCCCCTCTCCCCTCTCCCCTCCCTTCCTCCTTCCCACTTTCCTCTCCCGGATCACCCCACCCCACACTGACCAGCCTGCCTCTCGCCTACACTCTCTCACACTCTCACACTCTCCTTTCATCCTCTCCCTCCCTCCCTCTCCGTACACCCTACCTCTATATCTGACCAGGTGGGGTCATTCGCGCGGGGTCTCTTCCTCGTGCATGCAGAGTGCCTACAATCCGACTACGTCGCCTCACGACCCTTCCGAGTCAACGCGGTCAGCTCTCCCCTCCTCCCCGCCCAAACGCACACACACGCGCACACACACGCGCACACACACACACGCCTCAGCCCACCATATCTTTCCGTTTCTTTCCTCCTGCATCTGTCCCCAGCTCTCTGAATCCTGCTCCCTGTGTTATTCCACCAGCAAACTTTTTCATAAAACCTTATGAATGACACTGGGTGGCACACACGACCAGGTCAACTCTGCAACCCATGCTTCTTCCTCTCTATCGTTCTCCTCTTATCATTTCTCATTTCTCTCCCGCCCCCCTCCCTCAGGGCCCTGTGCATTCATACGTTGCCGTGCCGGGCGGCCGCACAGCGTACCTTTCTGAGCTAACGGCCGGCAGCACAGTGCTGGTGGTGGAGCGCACAGGACAAACCTGGCCGGCCACCGTGGGGCGGGTGAAGGTGGAGGCTCGCCCGCTCACTCTCGTGTCAGCCAAGGTGGGTGGTGCAGCTGCAAGGTGCTGCTACACACTTAGCGAGGTGCTTCAGCTAGTAGCAAGCAACTTCACTGAGCACGCAACCAATGCTAGCTTGTGCTGGAAGGAACCAAGGGACGCATGGAAAGATCAGCTACAATGCGTGTTCTCCCGCTGCAGAGCAAATTCTAGACTCTGTGTTGTTGTGTTCTGGGTCATCCCAGCTCGCTCATGCGGGCTCGCTCATTCATCCCAGCTCGCTCATGCGGGCTCACTGCACTGTACTATTTCTCCCTTCTGTCTTTCTATTCTGCAGGTCCCAGGTCAAGGTAAGAGTGCTTCTCCACAACATTTCAGAAAACCGACTTACAAGCCTCAGTTGAATGTCAAAGCCCTGCTTGCTCCTCACCCTGCTCCGGCCCCTCTCCCCCCCTCCTGTCCTTGTTTCTGCAGCTGCCAGGGCATGAAGAGAGCGTCTCCTGTAATCCTTCAAAACGCATAGCCCTTGGAATCGGCTCTGAATTCCAACGCTCTGCTTGTTCCACCCACTGCACCATCTCTACCTTGTGTCCTGTGTCTCTGCTCTGCAGGTGTCAGGCCATGAAGAGAGCTTCTCCATAATCCTTCAGAACGCTGAAACCGTTCGCCTTGTCTCTCCATTAGACCCCTCCGGTTCGTGCTCTTGCTGCATGGCATGCCCTCTTACCACGTCTTGCATGAAACCATGCATCCACGGTACTTGCCTACCCGCTAATGCTCCAAACGTATGCATGTGCGCGCTTTCATCCACCCATATGCACGCATACACCGCATGCTTGCACACGAACGATCCTCACATACATCTCATTCCTCTTCCCTTTCCTACACTCATGATTTCCTTCCTCTTCCTTCTACAGCACCTGAGGAGGCAGCAGCAGGGTCAGTGTCAGTGAGTGAGTTGAGAGAGGGAGACCACGTGCTGCTGGCAGTGCAGCAAAACGCAGCACGGCACACAGGCATAGCAGTGCAGGAGTTTGTACGGGAAGCATAGGTTGCATAGCATAGCACAGCCCAGCAAACTGGAGTTTCCTCTGTGGACTGCATATACCTAAGTAATTTATGAGCATGAGAAGTCTGTCAGTTGCCTGTTTTTATCAAATATACAGTAAGGTTCTTACATTAGGCTGGATGGATGGTGCAGACCGCAAGAGAGAGGCCATAATCACAAAACCACCCAAGATTCTTATGGTGCTGATGACGGATCCTTGCACTAAATCAAGAACTGTTAGACCAAAATAACAATGGTCGGATTTTCTCCTACAGATACATCACAACATTCTACAACCTGTACAGGAGAATCACTACAGGGTACCATCCCACACCAAAGCACCCAGCTCAACCAAAACCACCAACCCACACCCCTTTCTACTCCATTTTCTTCTGCTTCTGCTTCTTGAGCAGCCCTCCCAGCTTCTCCTCAACCACACCCTTCACCTGCTTGATCTGGGCCAAAGCTTTGCCCAAATGCTCGTCCACCTGATCCTCATATCGGTCATAGAGCACTGGCACTGTGAACGCTGCGAGCACGCCTGGCGAGGGGAGAAGAGACAGCAGAGGCCAGTGGGGGGGAGAAAGGGGAGGGAAGGGGGAGGTTGTTTTGAGACGTCCCAGGGTTTGGCCCAAATGCTTGTCCACCTGAACCTCATACCGGTCGTACAGCACTGGCACTGTGAACGCTGCGAGCTCGCCTGGCAAGGGGAGAAGGGTGGGGGGGGGAAAGAAGAGAGGGAGGGGGAAGAAGAGAGGGAGGGGGAAGGAGAGAGGGAGGGGGAAGAAGAGAGGGAGGGGGAAGAAGAGAGGGAGGGGGAAGGAGAGAGGGAGGGGGAAGGAGAGAGGGAGGGGGAAGAAGAGAGGGAGGGGGAAGGAGAGAGGGAGGGGGAAGGAGAGAGGGAGGGGGAAGGAGAGAGGGAGGGAAAAGGAGAGGGGGTTTGAAGGGGATGAATGGCAGTGAGGGGGGCCGGGGTTGAAGTGAGTTTTCATGTGCTTGCTGTGCAGAAGAGGGCAATGAAACATTTGGAGTAGGGAGAACGAGGGACAGACACGAGGGAATGAAAGCAGCATGTGGGCATGAAAGCAGCGAGTGGGGGACATCAGCATGACATACCAATGAAGACGAGAGTGAGGAAGTGGAACCACCCTCCCACCACGGAGACGAAATACAGCCCGCTCAGCACCTGCCACACACACGCATAGATGGATGGGAAAGAGTGCGCGCGGAAGGGGGGGAGCGATAAGGTCAGGCACTGATGCGCTTGCTGAGAGTGGGCGCAGAGAGAGGAGGCGCACCAGAGGGCGGGCACCGGAAAGCGGAAGGGTAGGCTCGGGAAAGCGGGCGTTAAAGAGCTGGCGCGGGCGAACGGCCGCAGCACCTTGACGAGCGGCATCTAGCCTTGCCCGGCGCTACACCGTGCTCTTGTTGCCACACGCGCGGTTTTTATAAGTGTATGAAACACAATCCATCGTTTACATATGTATTTGCCACCATCACAAGGGAATTTTACGGCTCCTTAACGAGCAGTATGTAGTCCTTTCCCCGCGCGACATCGTGCAACTCGCACGGGTGCAGATTATACCTGGGAACACGATTCGTTGCGGGTGCACGTAAGCCACCCACCTTAACGAGCAGCATGTAGTCCTTGCCTAGCGCGACGTCGTGCGCGAGCAGCAGAGCGCGGTTGGCGTGATCGCGCAGGCGCAGCGCCGTCGAGCGCACCGCGTCCTCCGATAGCCTCAGCGCGGGGAAGGGCGGACCAGGCCTGCGCAGATCCAAGGAGCGGCGCGGAAAAAGAGGAGCCACGGTCGATTTGCGAGTAAGATTACATCCTATCTTTGCGAACATGATAGCATGAGACGGCCACTTGCTAAGGTAGCGGTGGACGGGGAGACGGAAAGAAGACGAGACGATGCGACGGCGTGACGGCGAGAGTTACGGCAAGGTATGACGATTTGAACCACCAGACAGAGCGCGTAAGCGAAAAGCGTACTTGTTGAGAAGCGACGACACTTGAGCCCAGGCGAAGACGAGCGAGATGAGGATCATGAGTACGTCCGCGAGGATCGTGAGCAGCGTGAACCCCGACCGCTCGAACACGATCCATAGACCCGCGACCGACGCCAGGATTCCCGCGCTCGACTTCCAGTCCTTCCATAAAAGCACATCCGCCGCTGGAAGATCATAGAATTTTGGAATCACGGATCAAAGATCGCGCGGGAAGGGAGGAGCGCGGATGAGAAAAAGTGCGCATGCATATTGTGAAACGGTCGAAATAGATGTGCATGCTGTCCAAGTTGGCGGTTTACTCGTGCTGCTCACCCTTGCCACCTCCAAGCAGTTCCCTGACTGATTTCGTCCGGCCGAACGGACGCTCCTTCAAAGGAGCAGACGCTGCCGGTGCGACGGTCTCGGCAGATAGCGAATCGGCCATGGCGTAAAGCTTCAAGTGCGATCCAGACACTTAGAAACTGCGAAAAAGTGGCAGACACTGAACGACAAGCCGGGGAAAAATACAGCAGAAATAATCTTCAAATGGCAACAAGTAACAAGAGACGAGGAATTCGGGAAGCAGATCCTAGCTTTCGGGCTTGAGGGGATTTGCGAATGCTGCGAAACTGTGTTTCCAGAACCTTTCGTTTCAAGCTCATTATAGAATCTGACGAATCAAGCTCGAGGCGAACGCCCGTGCTTCACACACAACGCTCGGCGACGATGAGGGAGAGCAGGCGACCGACAAGCCGCAATTCCGACAGGCGAACCAGCGGCTAACCGACTGCGAACGGACCGGACACGTTTCGTCTACTACGTGCGCAGCCGGTCGCACATGTTCTAGCCAAGTCGCAGAGAGCTCGCTGTAATCACGGCTGCTCGCTGACACATCCAGCATCAGCACTCGGGCCCACTTCTGTGGAGACTGACACGTGTCCAAGGTTCGAGGAGGAGCATATCCGCGCTATTGTGAAAATATCACGAGATGCTTGAATGATATACGGTAGGAATTTCAGCGAAGCAAAGTTGCGCCGTCTAAACATTACCCGAATCCGAGTATTACACTGTGCTTTACAAATCATCCCAAATGTGTTCATATCACAAGACACCACTGAACAACGCCCACTACTAATGAACTTATCTAAAACATAGACAACAGCCTGAAGTGTCTACAAGTGCAGTAAGGAGCATGAAACCTCTACATGCCAAACCTACCTTCAAACCCACATTCCTGCACAAACAAGTACCGGTAGCTTACTTAGTGCTTACTCAAATACGGTAGAATCTAATGAGCCTGACTACTAACGCATGGGTCATCCAGGCCAACCCCCTATGAACCACAACCAAACCACACACAGGTACTGTGCACTGGCTTCAACGGGAACACCAGACAACGGAAACCGCCCGCTTCTCATGCCTCTCCCCGCTTCACCGTCTCATGCAAATCTTTCTTTTCGCTAAATGCCCACACACACACTCGACCCCAATTCCCCTCTACCCCTCAGTCTGGCACTTCTCCCTCCTGGCAGCAGCCACAGCCCCTGCCTTGCCCATGCCCCTCACCGGACTAAAGTTCGGGCTTCCCTCATCCTCCTCCTCCCCTCCATCCTCCTCCCCTCTCTTCCCTCGTGGACTGCGAGACATCGCCCTCCCTCCCCTCTCCCCCCCTCCTCCCACGCTCCCTGAACTCATCCCCCCCTCCCTCGTCTCCCCCCTCCCGCGCCTCCCCCCACCTGCACCTCTCCCGCCCCGCCCATCATACTCCCCCATGCGAGCCGGGCTCAGCCTGCGGTCCCGCCCTATATCCCCCTGCCCGCCCTCCCCTCCTCCACCCCTCTCCCGCTCATGCTCATACCGTCTGCCCCGCCCCCCCCAGCCTCCCCTCTCCTCCTCTAGCTCCTCCTCCCCGTGAAACGCATTAATCCCCGGCCCGCTCAGATGCTTGCGCAGCAGCCGGTTCGCACCACTCCCTCCCCCGCCCCCGCTGTTATCCCGCACAAGGCCTGAGTCTCGCATGTACCCCCCGCCGTCCCGCATCATCATATAAGCAGGAGCACGCCCAATGCTGATCCCCGCCTCGCTCCGTACGCCCGCCGACTTGAGGCTATCATTCGTGTTGGTGCGCTGCAGCACCGGTCCCGACCCCTCTCCACCGGACAGCCCTCCTTCATCCGACCACTCCCCCGACTCCCTCCTTCCCAGCGTCCCCCCAAGCCCTCCCCCTCCCCCCCCTCCTCCCCCACCCGGCGCCCATCTGCTCCCCTCCCGCCCCCCACCCAAACCCCCACCGCCGATCCCCCGTCTATACCCAGTCATCCCATGCACCTCGGGCTGTCCGCTCTGCCCCGACAGAGTCCTATACAGCGCACTATCCCTCACATCCGCGCTCCGCTCCTCGTACGATCCTCGCGACTCCTCCTGCTGCTCCTCCGTGAGTGTCCTATGCAGCATGCGCGCCCCGCCCGGCCGCCCGCGAATCCGCGGCCCCCGGGACCCAGGCTCAGCAGATTCCAAGCTAGCGCGACGCACAAGCGTGGGGAGAGGCGCACGGTTCCCTGAGAGGGATTTCTGGAAAAGCTCGGCGCGAAGCTCCTCCCGCTGCGCCATGAGACTGCTGCTCGTGCTGCGCGCGCCGTCCCGCCCCTCCCGCCCCTCGCGGCCGCCGTCGCGGCCGTTCTGGTGGTGGTGGTGGGAGGAGTAGCGCGAGGTGGAGGAGGAGGAGGCGGGGGAGCGGCTGCTGGTGCTCGTGTCGTTGCTGTCGCCGCCGCCGCCGTCCTTCTCTTGCCACTTGAGCTTCGCCCACGTGGCCCCCGGCCTTGCAGGGCGCCTCTGACCCTCCTGTGTGGGGAGGGGAGAGGGGAGAGGAGAGAGGGGAGAGGGGAAAGGGGAGGAGTCGTGTTCTGAGTCGACTCAAAACTTGAGCTTCGCCCACGTGGCCCCCGGAGGCGCAGGGCGCCTCTGACCCTCCTGTGAAAGGGAGGAGAGGGAAAAGGTGAGGAGGGTCCGGTGGGAGGGAGACGGAGGGGTGTGTTGGGGGAGGAGAGGGGAGGGATGCATGATGGATGGAGGAAACGCTGCGCATGTGTGGAAACACGTGCAAGAGGCAGGGAGAGGCGAGGACACGAGGGGCGGGTTAGAGAGAACAGAGAGCAGAGAGCAGAGGAGGTGGACGCGAGGAGGGTCAGCTTGCAATGCAGTGCACACGAGGATGTGTGCTCATGCAGTGCAAGTGACGTTCTGTTTCCCCTCATGCACGCCGCGTTCTCTCTCGTGTGCTTTCTCTTCCCGCACTGCACCCATCAATCCTCCCCTCTTTGCTGTTCCTTACAACCAGTGCCCATGCGCTTAAGCTAAGAGCACGCGAAACAGACATGGCATTAGAAACAAGCAGGACAGCAACAAGCAAAGCCAAGAGCGCAAGCAGCTGTGCAAGCAAGCAAAACTCTCCTGTACACACAACCATTCAGGTTCTAATAATGTGGCCATGTTTTCTCCGATGTTCCTGCTACTTATTATTTACTTATTTACATATTTTTTATGCCACATGTCTGAGATGCAGTGCAACGTACCGTGGCTGGTCGTCCCGGCCCGCCCTTCTCCTGTGTTGACTGTCGGCTGTACTCCCCCTCCGCCTCCTCCCCATCCGCCGCCCTCCCCCGCGCCCCTCCCCCCCTCACCCGCCGCCCACCACTGTCACGGTCGTCTGAGTCCCGCCGCACAAGCCCATGCCTCTCCCCCTCCTCCCCCGCGCGCCCATAGCTCCTCCCCGCCCGCTCCCCCCGCTCGCCCCGCTCCCCTCGTTCCTCACGTTCCCCCCGTTCTCTCCGTTCCCCACTGTCCCCCCGTCGCTCCTCTGACTGCTTCTCTTTCTCCTTCCCCTCGCCTTCCCCCTCCCCCTCCCCCTCCGCCTCCCCTTCTCCTTCCTCTGCTATGTATCCATCGTCCCGTTGCCTCTCCTCACGTTCCCGCCTCCCCTTGTCTGCCCTGTACCCACCTTCTCTCGCTCGCTCCTTGTCACTCCCTCTCTCCCTCTCCCTCTCTCTATCGTCCTCCCTCTCCCTCTCCCGCTCTCGGTCCCGCCCCCTCTCCGTCCGCCTCTCCCCTTCTTCCCGCCCACTCCATTTCTCCCCCACGTCCCGCCCGTCCCGCCCATCCCGCGCATCCCGCGCATCCCGCGCATCCCGCCCATCCCGCCCGTCGCGCCAATCCCGCCTGTCCTGCGCGTCCCCCGCTCTTCTCCTGCCCTCACCCTCCGCGTCCCCGTCCCCATACCCGTCCCCCATCCGCCTATCCTTGCTCGTGCCACGCTCCCGCCGCCCGCCCTCCTCGTCTCGACCCACGCCTCTCCCCTCCCTCTCTTCCCTCCCCTCTCTCCCCTCCCTGCCTCCTCTCCCTCCGACTCCCCGCTCCTTCCGCTCCCCATCCTCTCCATTCCCCTCATCCTCCCCACTTCTCTCCTGCCTTCCCACCCTCTCGCCACTTGTCTCCTCCCGCCCCTTCTCCCCATCTTCCGACTTCCGCCGTCCCTCTACGTCCCCCTTTTCGCCGTCAGTTCCCCCCTTCGGCGTCCGCTCCCCGTCATCCCCGCTTCCGCCTTCCACCTTCTCCGCGGATGCGCGGCCCTCAGCTTTCGCGCCAACCCCCTCCGCTCCGCCCCCCGTCGCTGCGCCGTCGCTGCTCCTGCGCCTCTCCCCCTCTTCGGTTCCGCCCGTCCCCTTCCCCACTTGCGCCACCCCTGCTTCCGCGCCTGCTCCTGCGGGGGACGCTGCGCCGCCGCCTTGCGTTTCGGCTGGTGTTGCTGCCGCCGCCGCCACTGCTGCAGAAGGCTCTTTTGCCGGTTCCGCTGGCGCCGCTTCCGCCGCTGTCGCACTCCCAGTAGTTCCGCCCGCTCCCTCCGCGGCCACTCCCGCTCCCGCTACCATGACCACTGCCGTTGCCGCTGATGCTGCTGCCACTGCGCCAGCGGCCGCTACTCCCGCCACTGCTGGCGCAGCAGCAGCCGCGGGGGAAGCCGCCACAGCAGCGGGAGCAGCAGGAGCAGCGCCAGGCCCCGGCGCGACCGCTGCTGCGGCGGGCGCGCCTAGCTCCGCCTTCACGGGCGGGGGGGTTGCTGGCTTGGGGGGAGCGGACGCCGCCAGACCCCCTAGCCCCTTCCCGCTCGGACTCTGCACAAGACCATGCCCATGCCCCTTTTTGAACAGCCCGAACGATCCCCCTCCGCTCTCCCCGCTCGCATCCCGCCTGCCGCTTCCCCCCATTGCGCTCTTCCCCTTGCTCCTTCCGCCGCTCTTGCTGGCTTTCCCCGCGCCCTTTCCCAACTTCCCCACGTCCCCCATTTCCAGGCGCTCGCGCATCGCGAAGAACGCGGGGCGCGCAAGGTGCTTCCGCGCGCGCAGCTGCGCCAGCATCGACCGCGCCGCCTCCGCGGGCATGGTCTCCCACGGGGAATCCGCCGCCGCGGAAAGCGGCGAGAGACTCGCCGCGCCGACCGCGCCCGCGTTCGGGTTCGACTGCGGGATCGCGGCGGGGGACCCGTCGTCCGCGTTACAAGCGCCCTCGCTGTACTTGCTCGTGTACGGCGCCCAAAACGCCTCGATGGTCGTGATTTTGGGCGGCTGCGCGCGCGGAAGCCACGGCTCCGGCTTCTGCAGGGACGACTGCAGGCGCTTCCACGCGGCATGGCTGTCCGCGATACACGCGTCGACGTGCTTGCGCCCCAATGCGCGGTCGTTGAACCCGAACACGCGCCCCTCGTCGCCTGTCGCACGGGGGGACGAGAGGGGCGGGGAGAGGGGGAAGGGGGAAGAGAGAGGGGGGCGGGCGGGAGGGAACGGACGAGAGGTAAGAGCGGCCGGCGCGGGGAAAGAGATGGGGACACTGGGGGCTTCGCACTGCCGCCCAAGGGAGCGGGTGACGTCAACAATGCGTGGCAAATGAAGGACGGCACGGGCAGAAAAAAAAGGGGTGCGCGGCAGGGAAAAAAACCAGGACGGCAGGGGACGGCAAGGGCAGAAAAATTTGGCCGGCAGGGGACGGCAAGGGCGGAAACAAGGTCGTCAAGGTTAGCAATTAGAGATGGTAGGAGTATCTAATAGGGAAGGCAGGGGCAGAGATTTAAAAAAGGGACGGTAGGGGCAGGAAAAAGTGGGGCAAATAACGGAAGGCAGGCAACGAATGTAGGGGCAGGAAATAAGGGACGACATGGGTAGCGATTAAGGGGCAGCTGGGGTATCAATTAAGAACAGCTGGGACCGGAAAAATAAGAGGCAGCAGGAACACAAAATGAGAAGAAAACAAGGACGGCAATGGGAGCAAATAGAGACGGTCGGAGTAGCAAGTAACAGACGGCAGGGACAGAAAAAACGGAAGGAGCAGAAAGAAGGACGGCAGGGGCAGTGAATAAGGTACGTAAGTGCAAAAAAGAATCAGGACAACGGGGGCAGCGACTAAGGGAATGGCGGACGGTGAGCAAACGAACGATGGCGGGAATAGCAAATAAGGGACGGCTGGGGAAGAAATTAAGGACAGAAAGGGCAGAAAATTGGTGATGATAGAGGTAGGGATTAGGGGGCGGTTAGGGTGGCAAATAAGTGATGGTGAGAATAGCTACGGACGGCAGGGGTAAAAGATAAGCGCCGGAAAGGGAAGCAATTAAAGCACGGTAAGGGTATCAATAAGACTAGGGACAAGAATACACGGGACGGCAGGGGTAACGACTAGGGACGGTAGGAGTAGCAAACAATGGATGGCCGGGGCAGAAAATATCAAGGACGGCAGGAAGGAAGGGCAGAAAAATTAGTTGGGTTTGGGGGCGTAGCGATTTGGGACCGGGTGTAGCAATTAAGGGGCAGTTGGGGTAGCAAGCAAGCGATGGTGGGGATAGCAGATACGGGACGGCAGGGGCAGAACATAAGGAGCGGCATTAAGAGAACATCCGGGATGGCAGGGGCAGAAAAAGGAACCCCCGACGTAGCGAGTATAGGACGGCAGAGAATAGCAGAGAACAGGTGTAAATAATAACGAACGGAGGGGCAGAAAGAACAAGGGCGGCAGGGGAGGGCAGATGTGGCTACCAGGGACGGCAAGGAGAGAGAGAGAAAAAAAAAGTTCTGTAGAAAGGTGGGAACTTGAGGGGTGGCAAATAAGGGACGATGGCACTCAAAGCTGCGCTATGGACGATGGGAGGAAGGAGTGGGCAATGACTACATGACTCGTTTCTCAAGACGTGTATTGAATAACATGAAGCATGTGCTGCGCAGAAAGCATATCTATCACTTGCTGCTTGCCAACGATTCACGGAAGAGTTCGGGTCAGCATCCGCAGAGGGCCTGATTTTTACGTGCTTACTTTTCTGCGTCTGCTTAGCGTTTAAAAAAAAAAGAAAGAGAAAAAACGTCGCGCGCCGCAACACATGGGAAGAGCGCGCAGGCAGATAATTAACTACAGAAAAACGAGAGAACCTCAACATAAACACAACGCACCTTGTATTACGCCGCGATGCTATAGGACGGCATCGCCAGCGAAGGCCAAGGCCGGGAAAGGAGGGGAAACAAACATCAGCGAACGGACTCGAGCCAAGGGGAAAACAAGAAGAACGAAAGAAAAAAAGCCACGTACACAATTGATCAAACCAACCAACCCTAGTAGAGCGGGTTACCATCCCACCTGCTTCTTTACACTCGCACAGTCGCAGCCACTCGCGAATCTCCTCCAGCACTCCCGGCAGCTTCTTGCTCACGTCAGCCACGTCCTGCAGCTCCTTCGCCAGAGGATCGTCGCTCGCCACTGCCACGACATTCCACGACACGCACATCGGCGCGCCCGCTTCCGCACCGCCCGCGCCTGCGCCCGCGCTCGCGCCGGCGCCGGCGCCAGCGCCCGCTCTCGGCGAAGCTTCCGGCGCGGCTGCCGCGGCGGCGGAAGTTGCGGCGCCGGGTGCAGCGAGGGTGACTACAGCGAAGGCTGCGAGCGGCTTAACGGGGTACACGTCGCCAGGGCGCGCAGCGCGACGGCTTATATCGAGGACGTGCAGGGGGCGAGCGTCGTAGTGCAAGCCGCTGAGGTGCTCGTTAGCCGACGCAGGATCAGCCCACGTCTGTGTGAAAATCCCGAGGTTCCAGTGGCAATTCTCCGCGAAATGCGCTGGCGCGGCATTGCGCTTCGCGAGGCGAATAGGGTTAAAATTCTCGTCTTGCGCCACTTCGTACGTCGCCCACGTTCCCCGCGGGGTCACGCAGAGAAACGACAGGCCCGATGGCGGAGCGTTAGCGGCACCGGCGGCGGCGGACGCGGCGGGAGGCGCGGCATTGGAAGGATACTCGGAGACGTGCAGAGGAATATCGTGCCAAGGGGAGAAAGCGCGGTATTGCGAGTCTAAGAAGAGTATGCGATATAGTAGCGTGCCGGAAGGGCCTACTTCTAGGGTAGTCCACCAGGGAGCCACAGACGTGCTCATGTTGCTGCTGCTGCTGCGGCTAGTGGCGGCGCTGCTGCTGCTGGCGCTGGTGCTAAACGAGTCTGCTACCATCGCAGCCTCGCGCTACGACTGCTGCTAACGCGGCGGCTGGTGCGGCGACTCACGACGAACCTTCTCCATTCCATGTATGTCTTTCGGTTGCTGCTGGGCTTTCAAATGTGTGCGTAGTCCTAGTTCGCGTAGTTCGCGAGCTTGCGGATGGAAGTTCAATGTGCGTAAGCTAGGCAAGGGAGGGGCGTCAATGTCTATGCTCTCTACCCGATGAACCCTAGGCAGAACCAAACGCCCCCCCAGTTTGTGCAGGAACGTTTTGCTTGGTGCGGCAAAACTGATGCCTGCCAGGTGAGGACCAGCAGAGGCGAGCAGGGGGGATGGACGGCATGTGATTGGGGAGGGAATTGGGATGGGTGGGAGGGATGGGGTGGATGGGAGGGATCAGCGAGCCAAGTCAAGGGGGGGGTGTTGGTGGTGGGTGGGGCGTTTTTTTCCACATTCGGCGTGCTGCGCTGCTCTGCTCCGCTGGTGCTGCGGGGGGTGCAGTGCGGTGCAGCGCAGTTCCCTCCCTGCGCTTCCCCTCGCCGCCTCCCCTCTCCGCTCGCCCCCCCCCATTACAGTGCCAGCGCTCCCCCTTTCCCCTTCTTGCACTGTTCTTCCCAAACTAACGACCGACCACCTTCCACTTACTCCAAGTCTACGGCCCCGCCGCGCTGCCATGCCACTTTCCGCCGCAGACGGCTACTGCAAGTGGGGGGAGTTGGTGGGGCAGTTTGGCGGTGGGGAGAACCAGAAAACGCCTTGCTTAGACTGCCTTTGTTGGGGGGGTGGTGGGCGGAAGGTGGGGGGAAACCAACTGCGGGAGAAGCAAAGGCGCAGACTTCGCTACTGCGCTACCCCTCGATATTGGGACAGGGGGAAAGGGGAGGTAGAGCCGTGACGTGCAGAGAAAATGGGAACCCAAGTCGGCCCGGGGAGATTGTCCGGAATGCAGGTTCGCGAAGCCAACAGAGCAACGGGAAAACCTTTTCGGTGCTCTTCGCAACATAATCATATAGCCGCAACGAAACAAGGTCACGACGAGGTGTCCCATACCACAAAACGCACACCATCCAACCTGGACGTGGCGGAAAACTCGCCAAAAGCAGGCGACGCGGCAACAAAGCGTGTACGATTCTATGTGAAATCGGATACATTAACTGATAATCTGCTTACAAATCAGACTCAAAATAATCAATATTTTTAGGGAGTCACTTTGTAAGAAACAAGAAAAAACCAATTCAACAAAGCCCGCCTAGCATGCAAGGCTGCTGGTCGACCTCCAGCACAGCACGGTCGACGGCGTCCCAGCACAGCAAGGTCGACCGCACTCCAGCAGTGCAAAGTGGTGCTGAAAGTAGACGGCGTGCCAACGCTGCAGCAAGGCGGCTGCACAGCGTTGCTCCCGCAGGACAGCAGCGCACCTGCTTCGCAGGTGCTCGCAGCTGATTGGCGTGCTGTGTCCCGTCACTTGCACAGCGCAGACACCAAAATTGTACACTTGCTGTTAGTGACTGCCCCCTGATCAGCCACGTCGACCACATGATACAATCTCCGAGGTCGACTTCGCCAGAACCACCACTGAACCATCTCCGAGGTCAACTTCTCCGATTTTCGCGCGCCTCCGCTGAACCCCGTCGCCCGTGTTCTGCTCCTTCTACCTGTCCACCACCCAGGTCGATGACCACCCTCTGGCGACTTCACGAAGTCGGCCACCCCCCAGGTCTAGGCATGCTGGTCGTCGACAGCACCCCAACCAGCTTCCCCCAAGTCGACCTCCCAAAGAAGTCGGCCGCCGACGTCCCATAGTCGGCGGCTTCACAGTTGCCCTGTCGACCAGCTCGTCAAGTTGGTATCGCCCACCACAAGATGCCGGCTGCACCTCCCGACACCCGACCACAAAGTCGGCTCCGCCCAAGTGAAGGCGGGGACAACACACAACTCTCGTTGATAATAATAATGGTAATGGCACTGCTAGTGGTAATGTTAAAGGTAATGGTAGTGGCAATAGTAATGGTAATATTAGTGGTAATGATAATGGTAATGGTAATGGTAGTGGTAATGATAATGGTAATGGTAATCGTAATGGTAATGGCAGTGGTAATGGTAATGGTAATGGTTAGTGGTCATGGTAGTTGTAATGGTAATGGTAATGGTAATGATAATGGTCATGGTGGTGATAATGATAATAGTAATAGTAATGGTAGTGGTAATGGTAATGGTAATAGTAGTAGTAATGGTAATGATAGTAATATAATGATAATGGTATTGGTAATAGTAATAAACATGGCAATAATAATGGTAATGGTAATGATAATTGTCATTGTAATAATAATAGTTGTGGTAATAGTAATGGCAGTGTCAATGGTAGTTTTTAGGATTTGTAAATCCTTACTTATGCACTTGTTAGCAAGGCCATCCCGAGGGCCACGCGACCAACTGGTTCGGCCTACATTTCCGCATCTAAACCTCACCGAGTCACTTCCGCACCAATCGCGACCTCTCGCGACCCAATCTTTCCTGACCTCCCCGCCTAGTTAGGTTTTTCCCTATTTAGGCCTCGCTACTTTCCTTGTACCGTCATTCTGCAATCCACGTTCTCGATATTCGTATCTGCGCACTCTGCAAGTTCATTCATAACATCTGGTATCAGAGCTACTTTCCTAGCCTACCCCGCTTTTTAGAGTGTAATACCCCTCGAGGGTGTGGGGGGGGGGGGGGGGGGGACGAGGAAGGATGCCTTGGGGTCCAGGAGTTGTGTGCTAGCCGGCCAGGAGAACGAATTAGTTGCTTCTTACGGGGCACTCCTTCGGCACCGCCAGATCCTTGCCTCGAACGGTCGCGATCGACCGTGACCTCCCTCCCCCCGGGCAACTGATAGCTGTAACTGTCGCGACATTGAAACGTAAGTTACTATTCCACTGCATTTTTACCGACGATTTCAGAACTTTGTGGGGTAGCTGGCGTCAGTGGACCTACGTCGGCACCTGTACGAAATTCGCAGAGTCGTCATCGTGTGTGGCAGTTGATGGCGTCAGACCTGAGACAACAACTGCGCGACAATCTCGGAGCTGTTGACAATGGACATGCGTCACAGTGGGCGACATTTTCAGAAACGTTGAATGAAAAACAAGGGGCAACTGTATGGACTCGCCAAGCGCTAAAGTGATTACGTAATGCGCTGGTCAGTTTGGTCGGTATGCGCGCCTGTAGTGCAGGTACCATATATTATTGGCATGTCTATATTTGCCAAATTACATAGATCCGATAGGTTAAAACATGGTAGGGGGGTGGGGAATGGTATCATATAAAGAAAATGGGAATACATATGGTATTTACTGTATTTGTGCTGATAGAATAATGCGTCGGCCGGTAAGGTCAGTATGCACGCTTGTGTGTAGGTACAAGGCAGAGCTGAAACTTTGAAATCTCCCAAATCATATGGATTGGAAAGGTTATAACCATGTTTTGTTGAAGTAGAAGGCCTAATCTAGTGGACTGGCAAGAATATGGCACTAACTGCATCTCTACAAACATACGTAATGCGCTGGTCAGTTTGGTCGGTATGCGCGCCTGTAGTGCAGGTACCATGTACGACTGGCATGTCTATATTTGCCAAATTACATAGATCCGATAGGTTAAAACATGGTCGGGGGGTGGGAAATTATCATTTAAAGGAAATGGGAATACATATGGTATTCGCTGTATTTGTACAGAGAGAATAATGCGTCGGCCGGTAAGGTCAGTATGCACGCTTGTGTGCAGGTACAAGGCGTAGCTGAAACTTTGAAATCTCCCAAATTATGTGGATCGGATAGGTTAAAACCAAGTTTTGTTGAAGTAGAAGGCCTAATCTAGTACACTAGCAAGAATATGGCACTAACTGCATCTCTACAAACATACGTAATGCGCTGGTCAGTTTGGTCGGTATGCGCGCCTGTAGTGCAGGTACCATGTACGACTGGCATGTCTATATTTGCCAAATTACATAGATCCGATAGGTTAAAACATGGTAGGGGGGTGGGGAATGGTATCATTTAAAGAAAATGGGAATACATATGGTATTTACTGTATTTGTGCTGATATAATAATGCGTCGGCCGGTAAGGTCAGTATGCACGCTTGTGTGTAGGTACAAGGCGTAGCTGAAACTTTGAAATCTCCCAAATTATGTGGATCGGAAAGGTTATGTCAGAACTAGCTGTAGAAAGTAAGAATGAAGAAAGGAGGGTTTGCACTAGCAGCAGTTGGCATACATATAGGAAACCCTAATTGGGCTGTATTCGCTATAGAGTACCCCACTGC